ACTACAACACAGGTTCCAAACAGTGCATCACAAGTACTCAATACCCATGTTGCAATTATCACAAGTCTTCGCCATTTGGTAAACTGAAGAGAAAGATGAGTTCAATTTCCCTCTTGAAAATGATCACTTGGTGATCGAAACACCTGTCTAGGTGTTGAAATAACGGTTTGGTGTTGGTTCCAAACAGTGCATCACAAGTACTCAATACCCATGCTGCACTTCTCACAAGTCTTCGCCATTTGGAAAACCGAAGAGGAAGATGAATTTAATCTCCCTCATGAAGATGATCACTTGGTGATTGAAACAAATGTCGAAATGATAAAAATAGCGGTTTGGTGTTGGAACAGAACTCCAGTAATATTCATTACTTCACTAACGGTTCCAAACAGAGCATTACAAGTACTCAATACACTCAATACCCATGCTGCACATCTCACAAGTCTTTGCCATTTGGAAAACCGAAGTACTTTTGGCAGGTGTCAAAAGGTAGAATAATGAAACCAACAAAATGTTCCGTAGATTTTCTCCCATTTTTTTCGCCCAGATGAAAATTTGAAGTGTTATTCCACAAAAAATCAGGACTTCGAAACCAACAACTATTGTAATTATTATCATGATGAATTCGTGATCTTTTTTGCTTCATCAGTAAAGTTTAATCTACGAGGGACATATTTCCATTGAGCTGCATCTGTTAATTCTTATATTTCACTGATTCTATATGTGCGACACATTTTTTATATTATAATTCCGTCCTTCACCTTTGATCCAATATGTATTAGATTCTGTCCACAAGAAGGAACCGTTAAGAGAAAAATCAAATTTTTCAATATTGTGCATCACAATTGCCTACCCATTACTGCATTACTACTTGTAACTCTAGCTTTGAAATAGGCTTCATGGGACTCACTCTAGCCTTTGCTAACACGAAAGATACTTCGTTGTATGTTTCTCAGGTTCGCTACCACTGCAACGCTTTGTCATTCGAATCACACATAACGTGAATTTCTGTTGCTTCAGCATTATGAAGAAGGGGAATCCTGTTTAAAATCTATTTTTCCGTTAATCAGCTGTCGCCCCCATATGAACGACAACTCTCAGAAGTTGAGAAACTTACCTTTTAACGTGTGATTCCACACGGTTGCAAAATCATTACAAAAATATCTGGTCGAGGCGGGAATCGAACCCACGGCTTTCCGATCGTGAGTCGGGCGCACTACCACGGCGGCCAAAATATTGATTCTAAACTCAACCATTCCAACCATCTATTGAAAATTGTGACTGGAATCGTATCCATCCGATACCGCCTCGCCAGTTGGCATGTAGAATGATTTTTCCTTTGATAGACAAGAATGTGAGAAAGTCTATGGGATTAAGAATCGATAGAACTAACTTAAATATTTGACATTTTGTAGGAGTGTCTGTGTCGTCAGTTATTCCTTTGGGAACTTCATGATAAACGACTATAATGTAAACGAAATATTTTCCGACATGTTTGACATCCCAGTATGGGGAAATGTATCAGAAACTTTATTTTTCCGCAGAAGGGTACGATCGCCAACGAACATATACATATGCTATCAGTTTTCAATATGGGACAATTGTAAATTTCACGATCAGTTGTATTACAGTGAAGTCATTTATAGTGTTACCGTGTGTTTGATTTGTACCTACCATGACATGTCCAGATCTTAAAATATTATATTTTTTGCGATATTGAAAAGTAGTACCTATAGGGAATGTTTTTTAAGTCAAGTAATATGCAGCTGCATATTCCAAAATTTTTCAAATTCGCCTTACCTCCTTTCACCATTATCTTCTGCCCGTATTGTGATTTCAGACTATTGGGTGACTTTTCTACCAACTGCCCTAGTAAAAACAGATATCTGTTTTAAAAAAATCTGTTTAAAATCTGTTTTTTTCGTTAACCAGCTGTCGCACCCCTACGAACGACAACCCTCAGAAGTCGAAACTTGTGCGAGCTAAGGATTAACGAGGTCTTACCTTTTAACGTGTGATTCCTAACATATAAATGGTAACTTGCCTCAAATTGTTCCAACGTAGCCACCAGGTTATTGGCCTGACATGAAATTCTAACAAAATTATTGAGTCCAATAACCTCTTACCGCTTCTAGAGCACTACCTTTCACGCACCTTTACCTCTGCAATATTAGGATCACTTCATACTCTAAGTATTGATACATAACATATTTTCTAATGAATTGAATAATGGCCAGTCTTCTGGTTTGCCATTAAAAAAAAGGAAGTTCTTAACAATTGCATGATTGTTCGAACAATTTCCCCTCGAAAAACTTCTAATGGCATCGGGGACATCAAGGCATAATTTTGGAATCATTTTCCTGTGACGTATTTGTGTCTTCAATTTTTGGTTTTTCTAATGAAAGAAGAGTAGCATAATGCACTTCACACTTATCGACCCATTTTTGTATTCCTCTAAGCACGATTCTCTTATCCGTGCTATCTGCAAGCGATTCTCACGAGCTGCTATCTTTGTAGAGCATATTTTTCCTCTTCAATCCTAGTTTCAACTCTTTTTGAATTCCTCATTTGATTTCCGAATTCTTGCTTTCTTAATTTCCTCATCAGCTCAGCTGTCGCGACCTCAGTCTGCAACGCCAAATGCTTAATTTCATTTTTATCCTGTTTGTAGATATCTTGGATTCATTTGCTTTTCTTGCTGATTTTCTAATAGAATCTGATACTTTTGATGGACACCCAATTGATCCGGGATCTGACCACTCGATGTTGTGTTGATGGGTCCAAACATGGTCTGCTATACCTGATTTGGTGGTTTCCCCTCGCTGTGTGTGTTTCTTGTGCTCGGCAATGCGAACATTCAATGGCCTTTCACCAATATAGGATTTTCCGCACTCACAGGGTATCCGGTAAATGCAATTCTTGGAATCACAGTCCGCGTTTGGTGGCCTCGTTTTCGTGAGGCTGCTATGGATAGTGTTACCGGATCTGAAGCNCATTTCTTTATTTTTATTTATTCAATTGTTCTATTTTTACTTGTATTTTATTTCACTATTATTTCATTTCAGGTTTATTTTGGTTAATATAATTATTATTTTCAGCTATCTCATTTTTAATTCTTCTTTTTTAGTTGTTTCAGGGATTTCAAATCATTTTATGTAGTAGTGAAATTCACCACCTATTTCATTATTATATTGTTGTGATTCATTTCTCACATCATCTTCAAATTTGAGAATATTACCAAAAAAAACAAATTCATGATTTCATGAGAGTTCCTCAGTGATGGAAAGGGTGTTCATTACCATTAAAAGCCTTTTTTCCCACCATTCTTTTCTTAATAGCATTCTGCCATTAGCAAATGCACTCATCTCTTAATGAATCTCGAGGCAAGCAATACAAACGGCCTCGCAGAAGCTTCAAATTTCCCTATGAGAAACTTCAATCCAATTTTGAAGTTTTATTGTGTATTCTAACAGAAGCCATCTCGCTAGCATAAAATTCCAAAGAGTGATATTGTGGTGAAATTGAAGATTGTTCGGCGTTAAACCTATTTAATGAAGACTTTATTAACATTTTGCCGAAGCGAGACTTTTCAATTTGCGAAATGAATGAAGACAACGGCTATGAAAGGGAAATGCTTCCCAACGGACCTATTCTGTAAGCACGAATGGGTGGGAATATCTTTCATCACTTTTCAGTGGAATAAAAGTTTGCTATTACATGATTTTGACAGGAGGTAGATGAAAAATGAATTTTAGTTGATCCACAACTTGAATAGACATTTCTTTCACTAATTTGAGATTTTTTTCATTGTGGACTTCATGGAAGTCAATGCATCTAAATTAACAATGAATTGCTGTTCGTGGGTCTCGCGAAAACTCGAGAACGGCTGTACCGATCCAAGTCCATGGAAGGTTCAGAAGGTGAGTAACTATAAATATGTTTGATAATCCTAAAGATAAGATGTTGCAAAAAGAAATGTCAGGAGTATATGAAAGAAGCTGTGAGAACTGCGACTAAGCGAGCCATTTAAACTTGTTTCAAAAAACACACAGCACATATCTGGTTTTAGAGACCAAAAAAACTAGTGTCGCTCAACACGACCCGGAGAATTGCCATGAAATAAATGAAAATTGTCTGAAATTGTTCGGATCGATAGATGCCATTAGATTTTTGGATGCTTTCAAAAGTCTAGAAATAGCAAAGTGTGACATGAGAACTATAAACAGTGGCAAAGGTCCCACTCCGAACTGCTCATGGTTCTGTAAGGTGTTAGATGAAACCTATCAAACAAGGTTATAAAAGTACATACTTCTCTTTCAGTAATGGGTGATGCAACAGCTTTATCTTTCTCATCAAAAAGTACTCAAAATAAAATATATCTGGGAACACGAAAGGAATCATCTGAAAAAACCGAAGGAATTGTCTCATTTGAAGATTCTCCTTTTAGAGGATCCCTGAACAAAAGTGGGCTATATGGCAAAAATTCAAGCTTCAGGAAAGGCAAAAGAAAACACGAACAGCTTCTCATATTTCAAGCAAAATCACACAGGGCCTGGATCATAGGTGGCAAGTAAGTTTAAGAGGAACCCCGCAAACAGCTCAGTGTTTTCCGAGGACTTGAAAGAAATGGATGAGTCAGACAGTTCCCAAGTAGCGGAAGAGATACTCATCGATTCAGAAAAAAATGCTATTTTCAAATAGATCAATTACACTTTGCTATGACCATTGGGATATGTCCCATAAGTTCCCACATAATTTTTAGACAAATTCACGCCACCGTTCATTGACGAGATTCTATAAGAAGAGCCTCTAAGAAAAAATCATGTAAATAACGTACCTATCCCATGGTATAAGACAAAATAAGCACTTGGTTTCATGACAGTAATGTTTCAAGCACTTTTCTGCAAGATAGGAGGGTGCATTAAAAATTTTACTCCGTTATATTTTTCGCTTCTAGATCTCTAATGCATTCTACATAAATCTTGACTAAAGCTAATACTCACTTTAATCATTGCTTTGAGCAGGGTATATCGCTGGAATATATTATGAACGGTTTTGCTATCGTTATACTTTCCCATCAAACCAACTAACGCCTTTTTTGCAGTGTCGTACGATTCATCCATTCGCACCCTCACAGCACGCAATCTCTCGTTTGTTTCTATAACTTCCTCTTTGGTTGCTCCAGTTGCTGTTCCCTCATCTTTCACATCCTGCACTATTCTTCTCACGCTCTGTGTGAATTTTCCGACTAAGTTGGTGGAACCTGTAACAAGTGAAAAATATGGAAAAACTCTTTTCGAATTGATTCTTGCTGATTTCAATTCCAAAATGAACTTGGAGTCTGGTCGTCAATATCTGTTTTCAATTCCTCATGATCATCTTTTTGCATATCTTAAACGACGATTCAATGACAGTTCGAAAAGTAATTCATACAAATTTGTTAATAAAGGCAGAAGTTGTTGACCCTTTTGGAAATTTTCATGCTTGGCGAATTGTACTGAGGAAGAAAATGAAACGAATTGATTTTTTGAATAACCCTTGGCACTTCCTTCAAACATAGGAATGTAGGCTTTCACGGCTGACGTCAATGGTTTGGATGGTTTTCAGGTTTTGCCGTGGTCTTCTTTGGTTATAATCTCTAAACGTTTCAACTGCAACTGCGGCAGTCATCTTCAGTGGCGTGGTCGGATACTCTTCTTAACATGTCAAGTGAAACTGAAGCTCCCATTTCTGCCGTGTCATTTATAGTGCTGATTTTTCGCGTACTTTCTGTAATGACGGGATGACGAGGACTTCGTTTTGGCGCTTTTCAATGTTTTATGCCAGATCTTTGGTAGATATGTTCTCTCTCCCGTTCTGTTGAAGTTCTCTTGGTGTTTGTATATTTCTATGGCTTCTAAATACATTCTTGATGAATAATGATTCCACGTTGCTAGTCTCTCGGTATTTTCGAACAGGATCTTGTGCTTTACGTCGGACATTGCATGTTCAGCGACTGAGGTTTCTCGGTCTGTCCCAATCGGCAACTTCGCTTGTGCTCGGCTAAGCGGGTACCAATACTTCTTTCCGTCTGACCAATGTAGAATTTACCAGAGTTACATGGAATCCTGTAACCTCTCGATGATTTGAGTGGATCTCTGCTGTCTTTTGCAGATCTCAGATACTCCTATATGTATTTTTTCCGTTGGTTTGAAGACAATGTTAATTTTCCTCTTCTTCAGAATTTTCCAGATTCGGTTGGTGACACCTTCTATGTATGGAAGATACATGCGATTTGCGATAAGGTTAGATTAGGTCTGAAGTAAGTGGGTCTATTCGACCCTCCACCGCAACCCGCAAGGGTTTATTGTGGCCCACACATATTCACACTCGACCAAATGAACCCAGCTTCCTCACGGAACCGATTACTTTGTATGGTGAGTGGTCTTTTAGGTCAGATGGTAAGAGTACGTCTTTGGCGGGGCAGGCACAAAGTATGTGCTCTGCTGTTTCATCATTTTATAAATAGAGGCGACACACAGTGTTTTCCGACAGTCCGAGTATCTTCATATGATGATTCAAATGACAGTAACCTGTAAGAAGGCCTGTTAAACATCGTTGTTCATCCCTATTGTAGTCCAACAACTGTAGCAAGCTTCGAAGCTTCTGCCAGAAGTGTATAAATCTTCCTGCCATCGAAGTGTTCAATCTTTGTTTGGCAAAGCCTAAAGCGATGCCAATGACAGGTTCTGGTCCGTTGAAGCTGCTTGCATTGCTCTCCTGCACAAGGGAGTCAGCAGCTTCATTGCCTTCCAGGCCAGTATGGCCAGAAATTCAGACCAGAGATAACCTGTTGAGTGTTCCTAGAGGAGAGTCTTTATTGAAAATTTGCTACCAATTTAGACGTTGTTCGGTAGGAGCCAAGAACTTTTAACGCCGTTTGACTGTCCGAGAATATTTTAACTGACTTGTGTATGAGGTTGGATTCTTTCAATCTCTTCGCACACAATTAAATAGCGTAAATTTCCACTTGAAATACAGTCGCATAGGTTCCTAGGCAGGTTGATATCTCTGTCCTGGGTCTGCGACTGTAAACACCTGCACCAGAACCGGAAGGTGTTTTTTATCCATCTGTGAACCACCAACTATCTGCTGATAATATCCGTCTCCCGGAGGATTCATTCCTCTCTATTCGGAAACAATACTTTATAAGGCAATTCGTAGTTGACAGTTGGAAGTATAAAGTCAGAGGTCATTTACACAATGCTGTGGCTTACAGTATCAACCAACAGTCTGTTGCACTCCTCTTCAAATTGATTTGTGCAATTGGCAATGTGCACAAGTCTATATATAGTCTATCTAGCCTCTCTCTCCAGAAAAATGTGGAGAGGAGGTAGATTTAGAAGGATCTCCATGGTCTCTGACGGTGTGGTACTGATGGCACCACTGATGGCCAGACAAGCCTGTCTCTGTATGTCAGAGAGCTTCGTCTGAGCCTTCTGCCACCAGGCGTGCCTATGGGTTAATCAGCACTAAATGAGAGCTTCAGTTTCAGTTGACACGTCAAGAAGAGTACTTTGACCAAGCCACTGAAGATGACTGTATCAGTTGCAGTTGAAATGTTTGGAGATTATAACCAAAGAAGATCACAGCAGAACCCGGAAACCAACCAAAACATATAACGTAATAATTAAAAAAACACTGCAAATCATTCAGAATTATATATTCAATAGTCTATAAACTTTTATACGGCGTGTTTTTAATCGGGACTACAGGTTGACCTCGAATGATACTCCAAATAGTTAAACACTGCGCGCGCTCTGCCCTTTATTTCGAATATGGTTCAAGATGTAGAAAGAATGTTTTGACCAAAGTTGTGGTAAATTCAATTCTCTACAATATTTTTCACAAATACAAATAGCATAAAACCCATAGGAAACGAGATATTTGCAATGAAAGTGTAAAAATTGATTTTTGACGTTTGACCTAGGAATATCTGTAGTCGCGGACACCCTAAAATAATTAGGCTTTGCGACAAGTTTCGGAGTGCCAAAATTAAGGTTCATTCAACTTTATAGATATCTCTCATTTCGAAATACTTACCCTCATTTGACTAATATTCCTGGACTATGATACAAAAAATCTATTTGATGAAATGGATAGGATAGAATAACATCCAACACAAAAATGTCCTGTTCAATTCTATCTGTTACAAAAAAGGCGCACAGCGTCTACTAATATTAGATGACCAATTTTAAAACTGATTCAAGCATACTATACTCAAGAATGTAATTTTACAAAGATACAAATGAAGTAAAAATTGCCTAATTCACAGATTGTATGACTTCAGAAAGGATTTGTGAATTCACAGGGTTCCTTTCGTAATATCAATTTCGCCGATTGCAAAATATGATCGCGTAATAGGAAACAAATTGTCGTCGAATACTCGAAATAATAATTCAAAAATCATTCCCCAGATGAATAACAAATGAATGTAATTCAATTGACTAGTATCATATAAAGTAAAACAGAAATCTGATGATTAAATACATTTTTTCCAAGAAATTTTCCAAAGTTTTTTTCATTAAGATCATTTTGATGTGAGATTTGGAAATTCTTGTAATTTTGTTTATTCCAAATATCATTTTTTGAGTTTTCATGATATAAATTAGAAAGTTGAGAAATGAGTAAACAAAGTAACATATTTTGGGTAACATAACTAATGGTATATTTTTGGTAAAATAGTTTTCGAAAAGAAACAGTATTCATCTGAATAGTTCGTAATTGTTATCAATAATTTTAACAATATATATCCTGGATATAAAAACATATAGGAAAAAGAAAGTGATACAAATTATGACATTATGAGACAACCAAAATTGATTCTGCTCTTTCAGCTGCAGGAAAAACCGGAAAAACCACCACATCATCTGAAGATCTTGATCTGCCAATGTCCTCTCTTTCACAGAATGAAATGTAAGGTATCTCCAGAGGCTCTAATAAATTCAAGATATTTCCAGAATATTTAGTGACACGACTATCATCAAACCTAAACCAGTCGTCTTCGACCAATGCGTAAATATGACCAGATTCAACGCCAGATCTGCTAGATTGAAGTGTTCATCAATTTCGAACCTTAGTGAGAATTTGGTACTTCAGTCAGGGGTTGAGGCTTGTTTGAAGATCATCAGTGCTATTATTAGATTGACTGGTGCCTCAGTTATACTTGTTGTCTTATAATAGTCTGTTACTTTGGCGCATATTTGGCAATACAGTTGATCATCACCCTTTAATTTCCTGGTTGGCATATTAGGAAACGCTAGTTGAAGTTCCAGAAAGTCACATACGTTTTTGCTACCTCTTGAACATGTACTACAAAGTGAACTAGTGGGGATTTTTCCAACAAAAGATCTACAAACACAAGACGAGATAGACCATATGGAATCATTCAATCCAGAGCGGTCAGAAGTATTGATCCTGCTATTTTCCTGCTCAAAAGAGTATTCAACAAGAGCCCCGAAAATTCGGAACAATTCTCTTGTTGTTCTTATGGAGTATCTAGTGGACTTCAAAGACTTGCGGAAATCGGTTGGTGGGAAAGATGATACATTCTTACGAAACTGCAGCATCATCGTTAAAACCTCGTTCTAGAAATTCCTCGTCATGAACAACACTTGTTAAATGCTCTTCATGTAGCAAGTGTTTCCTAAATCACCTAAACCAATTTTCTCCGCAAGATTTTCAGGACAACTGTAACTGATTCGTGGGGAATGAAACATGTTCCAGAACCATTTCTCAAGCTGCAATCGATCCTTCCAAGTGATGAAGGGTTTCGTAGAGGGATCGATTTTTCTCTTGCTTCATGAAGCTCTTCCACTGAAAAGTAACCCAATTCACGAGGACTGCAGGTTATATTTGGGTGATTTGAATGAATTTTGAGTATTGAATATAATGTAAGTTAGAATAAAGAAACGTATTGCGATTTTTTTCTATAGTTCATTACGGTCATTATTTTTATTGAGGTTACTGGAAATATTCAAGAAAACATTCATTTGATACCTTTATTGAAAACTGAAATTGAAGATATATCCTTATTTGATTTATATTTTGTATTCCTGTAAAACTTTGAACTACATATTTGCACAATTCATTAAATCTGTAAATTCTATCCGTTAGACGATATTCTTAACATCTTGTTTTTTTAGAAACTTCACGCAATATTCCATGTAAATGAAGATGCATCTGCTGAACAATTCCCAAGTGACTCCGAAACTTCGTGGTTCACAACCAATGAAAAGCGCAGCAACAAGTTGGAAAACCGACGGAACAATATGAAACTCCATTTGAGTCGAACCGGGTATTAGTGTTTATAAAATATGGAAACAAATCCGTCCCGATGGATTATCCTTCAATTATTTATAGGACTTCGATGGGATTTCACCGATTTGCGATTCAGTCGTTCTGAAATTTATTACAAAACTTCCGCATAATCGGATAAAACAAATGATAGATGCAAGACAGTGTAGAACAGGGTGTCTTATTAGTTGGTCGTTAGGAGTGAATGTAAAACATTTTCTAATAATCATACTGAATAAAAATAATCGTCACAGTTGCTACAGAATCATTTGAATTGCAGCATAAATTAACTGTATTCAGTAGTAAACTTCGAAGGCTATTGAACGTTTCACTGTCGGGAAGTAATTTTAAATCAATTTGGTCATTGGGCAATATTGTATTCTGAAATCTATTGATTTCTGAGCATTTCAATAGTTTCTATTCATCATAGGAACGCATGCCCCTTTGCCAAAAGATGATTTGAAAGTGATGAATTAGTTTTCTCATTCAAGAAACTACTTCTGTGTTATTTTATTCTTTTGGGGGAAATCATCCCCGTTTTCCCAATCTATCCGCCGCAGAAGAATTTCTTCACTGTTTTCAATAAATTTTCCCGAATTATTGTTTGTTCCCTAGGCTAGGTTAGGTTAGGTTAGGTTAGGTTAGGTTACGTCTAACTATTCTTTTTCGAAAAGAAGGCGATATTATTGGTGAGTCAAAGCTTGTTGATGTTATATAATGATCACTAGCGTTTCAGAATGTGGATAGACTTCGTCCAACGCTTGTTTTAATAGTTTTAAAGAATTATTGGAATCAATAATATCCACCATGACGCAATACAGTCCTGATATGTTAGGCTGACTACTAATCATATCATATATGAAAAAGTATATAAAGCATTGAACATGAGAAATGAAGGTTTTATTAATGGAATCAGTCAAAATCATCGTACCAAGTAAGCTAAATGTGATTTCAGTTTATGCAATAAACCCTGAAGCTCAGTCAGATTAAGTACCAATGTTTCATTCCTATGGGAATAAATATTTGATATTCTTCACGGAAATTATCACTCTTCAATTTTTTATGCAATTGGATATATGTGTTGTGGTAGGTTATATAACACTTGTTGCAGTAGTACTATATCAGTATTTTTTAGTACACTGCCATTGACCTGATACTCGACTATTATCAAGTAATTCATTCAACGTCACCAAATTCCATATTATGTCCTGCGAATAAAATTTTCTTTGATGTATCAGTTTTTATATAACAACTATGGTACGGCAATTGTACATTTTGAATTATAAAAAAAATAGAATTGGTATCTGTCACAAATGTTGTAAAAACTATTAAATCATGTTTCTATAATGTTTTTATGATATCAGAAGAGGTTGATCATCTGATATGATAAAACTCGAAAAACTTCTTCTGTTATAGCCTAAGTGGTTAGTTCTATTCATTATATCGAACCATGTTTGTTTGAAGGTGGTTTACAATGTTTTATAGTGAATTTCATTATTTCGGACTTTCATTGTCCAATATGAATCATTCCATATTATATTTGACAATGGAAGTCCAAACTGAAGTAATTAATATCGAACCATATTGTTGTGACATTTCATTTTTCGATTTTTCGTTTTATGCTGTTCGCAAGACCATTTGAACACAAACAAACCCTTACCTCACATAAGTTTCGACCTTCAGGGCTGTCATTCATAAAGGCTCGTATCAATATAATGAAAAAAAAAACCACTTCAATCCCATTTTACCATCTAGTCCCACAGTTACGTGGAAGTACCTCATTGACACCTTTCAGATTGAAAGCTAAACTATTGAAACGGAAAGAGACATTGCAAATTTGGATAAATTGCTACTTATAGGAAATCTCTTCAAGAAAAATGGGTAAAGATTTGATCTCATTTACTTTTTGCAAAGGTCTTCGACAGAATTAGTACTCCATCTTACTAGAGAAAATAGCTCAAATGGGTTCAAATTTCTCACTAACTCGACTCCCACACTGGATCAGAGAACCAATGTTATTTTTTATAATGGATTTGCGTCTGTACCATAATTATCATCACCATCCGGTGTGCCACAAGGTTCCAATCTGGGACCCCTGCTTTTCCTCAACTCCATAAATGATCTTACCTCCAAGATTTCGTGTTTGCAGACGACTTGAAGATCTTTTCATTTATCACAAGTTTAGAGAGCTGACCTTATCTCCAGTCTCAATTAGACCTGATGGATAACTGGTGTCGAATCAATAAATTGGCAATGAATGTTAAGAAGTGCAAAGTTTGCCAATATTATATTGGAATATTATTATTGGAAAATGTGCAAAGGCGTTTTCTGAAGTTTCTTGCATTTAGAACCGATGGCGTGTACCCTGCTAGAGGAACTGACCATTCCACACTACTTCAAAGATTCGGTCTGCCTTCCTTGGAGCAACGTAGAGTTTTCTTAATTTTTTTCTTTTTACTGCTTTCGAATTCTACATTCGAAATATGCAGAAGTCAATCCTTTGTTACTAATCGTTTTCCACTTTTTTCCACATCGACATTTGGAAAATAAAACGGTAGTTTCTACGGCCCCGGTGTGATAAAAAGTATACAATAAATCACGTCCGTGAACACGATTTATAAAATTCTGGTGAACGTTCATTCAGCTGACCCATCAATTACTCTAATCACAGCAATTTATTGCTGAAACACTATCGTTTTCCAAAACTCGTTTATCAGTTACATGATTTATTAATAGGTTTTTATTTCAGCGCGGTATCCTCCAGCAGGATACTATAGCAAGCCTTTGTATTAGAAGTTATTATTGACTTCTCATTTCACTTTCATTATCTAGCGAAAACTATTGAATAGAATGTGGAACCAATAAATGAATTTCCCATACTTGTATTCAAGTAACACTTCACTGTGGGAATTTAACTGGACAGAGTAGCAAACATTATAGGTCCTCAAGTCAGATTCTTTATTCTGTACCGATCAGCTCGGATTGGGAAGATCGTCGCCTCTCCGGTGTGTCAGTAAGCTGACAGTAAGCTGAAAGCCAGTTTTTCATATGTTACATTCATCTTGCACCACGTTCTCTACCCATTCATTCGCCATGCGTATTGATTCAATGTTTCTCCCATTTCTATCTCTCACTTGTATTCTACCCCTCTCTAGTTCCAGTCTTTCTTTCTATTCTCTCCACCCAACTTTTTGTCTCCATGCATGCATCTCTCAAGCACATGATCGGCCGTTTCAGGCTCCCCCCACCCACATGGGCAAGGCACCTCCGGCCTCAGGTTGATTCTAGCCAGGTAATCCGAAAAGTTACCGTGCCCTGTGCATAGTTGAACAGCCTTTCTCGACAGATTCAGTGCTTCATACGCGACTGCTCTACAAAATCTGTACAGCAGTCGCCCTGTCATTCCGTTATCCCATTCTTGCTGCCATTCTTTCTTGATTCGCTCTTTCATCCCTCTTCTCTCTTCATTCTTATCACTCATTCTTCTTACCTCCCAAGTAACACGGTCTTTACCAATACCTTTGGTGGTCTCCTCATGGGCCTTTTTGTTTTCAATGTCATCACTTTGGTGTCCTTTGCGCCATACCATTCAAGTCCGTGCTCCCCTCTCATTTCTCTCTTCAATCATTAGCTGAATCCTCGCTACTTTTTTGTTCGTCACTCGTACCTACTGCTTTCATTCTTTCCAGCGCTCTGGCGGAATCGCTGACTATTCTCACTTTTCCATTGATACTCCATATGCTGACCGCTCACTCTATCGCAATCAATTCAGCTTCATTCACACTCTACTGTTCCGGAATTCTCTCGTTCCTCAGAACCCACTCTCTTTTATTCCTTTCATACGCCCAGCCTATGCCCATTCTTCCGTCCTCTATAAAAAAGAAAAATATTAATAATAATGAAAGAACTCAAGAACAACTGAACCAAATTTTATGTTTTTTCTGTTTTTGGATTTGTCCTAATCGGGAATAGGATAGTAAGTACTTATGATGTACTGTTTGGAACCTTTGGTGTAGTAATGAATATTACTGGAGTTTTTCCCACACCAAATCGTTATTTCTAACACCTAGACACGTGTTTCGATCACCAAGTGATCATCTTCAAGAGGAATATTGAACTAGAAACTTTGCGCTAACGCTATTTATGCTATACAGGTACACCATACTGGTATAACATACATACAGGTATACCACACCTAAATTAATTTCAGAATTGGCCTTATCTATTATTTTACAGTATGTCCTTATGTAATGTAAACTCATATGAAAGTCGCATAGATCATCTCACTTCCGCAGAAACACAAGGATGAGCCAATGCACGGGATCTTCTTCAATAACATCGGAGACCTTGGTCGAGTAGGCTGAAGTCGGAAACTGAGATCGGAAACTGACCAGCGCACACTGCCGTGGAAAAAAAATATTTGCTCACGTGAACTATGTTTGATAATCCTAAAGATAAGATGTTGCAAAAAGAAATGTCAGGAGTATATGAAAGAAGCTGTGAGAACTGCGACTAAGCGAGCCATTTAAATTGGTTTTCAGTTCGCACAAGTTTCGACTTTTGAGAGCTGTCGTTCGTAGAGGAACGACAGCTGTTTGAAGGTAAAATAGGTTTCAACAGATTTTTTCAACAGATTTTTGTCAAAGTGTTTTCATTGAACTAATAAAAGGAGATGTAGAAGAAGTTGTGGAGAAATTGATTACTGATCCTTACAAAATCTAATTCCTGTTCAGGTGCTGGTGGCCAGAAGGGTTGATTATTGATTGGTGAAGATGATGAGTCCAATTTTGGTACCACCAGAATTCACGTCTAACAGTGAGTTTTCAAATCCATTGAGAAACTGATTAATTTATTGACATAGTGGCCTGTAGGCTACGCCAATGGAAAATATATTTTTTTCTATATTTATTTTCATCCACAGTTGCTCGATACTATTTTTGCTTGATTATCTAGCTATTCATTCTCGCAGTAGATTGTAACTCCTTCGCATCGCTCCCCATCTCGATCGATCCTTTATAATGGGAACCCTAGCTGTTATATCCCAGTGAATACTATCAATTCAACCCAAATGAGTGTCACGTGAATCACTGCACTTTTGTCATTGTGCTTGCGATTCGATGAAGTCGACGAAGGCCGTGGTCCTGATGGGTGTTCTACCGGTGAAAAAGTTATCGAAGTGTTTGAAAAGATGGTAGTCGGTTGGCGAGAGGTCTGGGTAGTATGGTGGATGAGACATAATTTTTAAGATCAATTCCTTCAATTTTCTGACTGAGATTTGTGAAACGTGCAAACAGGCGTTGTCGTGGAGTACGGTAGGACCTCTTCTGTTGACCAGTGCCAGCTGCTGCTGACGCAGTTTCCGGTACATTTTGTCTATTTTCTCATAATAGGACTCATAATAGGACGGTTTGATCCGGTTGCAGGAAGTTATAGTGAATCACACCAGACGCTGACCATCGTATACAGTAACCATGGCCTTTTTCTGATGTGTTTTTTCCTATGGAAAGTGTCCAAACAGTGTCCCGAACGTCACTTGTTGTCGTAGAGTAGTGGTCGCCAACCTCTTCAATGTGTTGAGCTACTTTGTTAATTTTGGAATACACAGCGAGCTACCCACACGGAAGCCACGTAACGCAACGTAAATGAAATAATACACAGTTGATTTATCATTATATGTATTTATTTCACTGGTAATACATAATACATAGGTACTAATAATAAACTAATAACAAAATAACTAATATTACTAGTACGTACTTGTTCATAGCTACATTCCTACCTATCAAACGAAGGTGTTTGAAAAATAAACACAAACTTTTATTCAGCCACAACGGCATGTTACGTATGATTTAAAAATAGTTAATAATAACAACAAAAAAGTAACGCACT